CCGCAGCAGCAAGTGCAAAGTGTAAATTGAGAAGGAGTACACAGCAGCAGCAACAGCAGCCCCACTTCCCGTTATCTCCTTTCAAGGTCTTTCAAGTGGAAAATGAAAAGAGTTACCGATGATTAAATCACCGCCAAGTTGACATTCACGCGTCTCGGAGACAAGTTACACAACAATCAACTAGTGATGTGCGCCCTGATAAACTGCACAACTGTGGCGATAACTCTCTGACTAAGACTTCGACTTCGACAGAGAGTACTGCCGACAGCTTTTGCTTGGCGAACGTACTAAACCACACACAAGTCGGCGATCCAGGAAGAGAAAAGAGAGCGCACACAGAGAGAGAGAGAGAGAGAGAGAAAGTCAAAATATCGAGTGCAAAAGGCACAAAAATAGATTTAGAAAATAGAAAAGGCGGGAACACACAACAACACAACAGACAGCCAGTCACAGGACACATGTCAAACTTTGACGATGCTCGAGCGCAAAGAGCTGGGCAGTAGCCCAGAAGATACGGCGTCTGTCTGCCTTTGTCATCATCATCATCTTACCTAGAGTCTACTCTACTCACCGCCTCTTCTTTTCAGGGTTACGGCCACTATCACCACCACATCTGAAGCTCATTATTTGTCTCTCAATTANTGGGCAGTAGCCCAGAAGATACGGCGTCTGTCTGCCTTTGTCATCATCATCATCTTACCTAGAGTCTACTCTACTCACCGCCTCTTCTTTTCAGGGTTACGGCCACTATCACCACCACATCTGAAGCTCATTATTTGTCTCTCAATTAGCAGCAGTAGTAGAAGTACCGATAGTGTGCTCAAAGTCTGGCTCCAGTTTTGCTGCACTATCAGATACTGCTGGTGGTGGCGGTGGTGCTCTATCACACACAATTCAACCGCAAATGGGTCGATATCGACACGCTCTAAAATATTTCCCTCCCGCGCTCTCTCCCTCTCCCTCGCCCACACCTCCCCACCCCCACAGATAGTTTCGCTCCAAGCGGGTATTAATATCACACTTTTTAGAAGGCAAAAAGTACGACAAAAACCACGAAACCAGAAGTCACTGGTCGGCCGCAGTACGACCAGTTTTTACTACTTTCGCACTAGCTTTTACGCGGGGCCTGTTGCTCTTCACGTTTTCACGCCTGCATCTCCTCATTTGCAAATGCTAATCTCTAATCTTAGCATTGCTGTGTCCTTAGTTAGCTCTTAGACAGAGCAAAAGTGCAGCACCTAACTGTCCTCAAAGGGTCTTCCCTGTCTGTTGCACAGAGCCGCCGTTTAAAAAGAAAGACAAACTTCAGAGAAAAAAATGTGCAATTAGTGCAAATAAATGCCGATATAACGACCATATGCAAAAAAATGTAGTAATAAATCAAAGTGACACTAGACAGTTCGGCTAGTTGCGCACAAGTTAGAAGTACACACCATCTTCATTCTCCCCCTCAACACTTTGACAATCTAATCAACCTGTCATTAAGTTTGATAAGTCTGCGTTATGTAAAAATAATACTTTTCATTAATTGACTGTCTCTCTCGCCTCTCCTCTTGAAATGAACCTCGCCCCTGAAGTGAACTATGAATATGTTCATGTTAGTGATGTCTGCCTGACACTATCATCCTCACTATCAAATATTATAATATTTTCTTTCCTATGCAAATAATGTCACACATTATAAATTGGCGCCTTCTATATGCTATCAGCTTTTCATAATTAGCCCTATTCCGGCAAAAACCCGTCGACTGTTGCACTGCAGACTGGCAAAAAATAGGCATCAAAGTATTGATCCAGTAATGGAACTTTGATTGAAAAGTCATCATCATAGCAGCAATAGCAGTAGTGAACCTTTGCTCGCCAACGTGACTACACTATTGGATTAGTGCCAATAGCCAATCAGAGAGGGAGAGTATTGAACATGATAGTCATACTAGTAGTACTGCCTTACTAGCCAGCTTCCTGAGGCGTAAACAACGGGAGATAAGAGCGCTAGGGTTCATTCAAACCCAACAGCCATCATCAATACGATACTCCCCACCTCCCCTCAAGCTCACAGTGTAAGAGGCAATGGAGCAAAGGTTACTTGCCATCAGGCCCACTGGAGTTGCTTGCCTGGCTAAAAATACCGAGCTGGCAAGGGCAAAGAGGCATCGAGTCTAAGCTGATTAGACAAAATTCGCGCTCAACTTTTTTTGCTTATGCTTCTGTTTGTTTTGTCTGCAGTTGATAACGGAGACAGAAGAAATGCCTACACTTCAATTCAAGTAATAAGAAGCCTAATGTACCCTTAGCCGAGCTGAAGATTAGGCTTGTTTGATGATTGGAGCCAATTATATAATACATGCCACTTAAAGGCTAGAAGACTAGCACTAACTAATAAGGAAAAGAGCAAACTGTGGGTGCATGTCAACAAATAGAGAACTTACATACTAAGCAAATGTCAACAGGAGAAATAAAGAGCAAAAACGACTTACTTGGGCGCTTTGAAGGCGTAGTCGACGCACTTGAGAAAGGACTCAAAGAGCTTAAAGGGAAAGCCGCGGAAGCGATCCGAGTCCTGGGCGATGAATTCGAGCAGCTTGTAGTAGAGGGAGCAGAGCTTCTCATCCTCCAGCAGCTCGTCGTTCATCAGCGGCATGATGATGTTCAGCGAGGTGAGGACCACCTTGCTGATGGTGGCACTGAGAGAGGAGGAGGCGGAGGGGTTGGAGAAGAAGTAGAAGATGTCCTGCGTGGAGAGATCGTTGAGAAACTTGAGGATCCAGGTGAACTCCGCCTGGAGCTCCTCAATGCGCGCCCCGTCCATCGTCACCTTGGCCTTGTTGTGCGTCGCGTACTCATTGAGAATGTTCACCGCCGTGTCGTAGAAGGTAATGGTCTCCTCCTCCTTGAGGAAGCAGCAGAAGGAGACGGAGAAGGTGAAGAGCAGCTCGAGGATGGCCTGCACCACCGTCGAGTAGTTGTGCATCAGGTTCATCACCCGCGGCAGGTCGTTGTAGATGTGCTGCAGGTAGCGGGTCCACACCACGGGGAAGGTCTTGTTGTTCATGCCGAAGGAGATGCCCTGCGTGCACTCGACAATCTGGAGGAACTGCTCGCGCACCAGCTCCTTATTGCCGGCGTTCAGGTCGACGTAGAACTTCTGGTAGGCGGCAATCAGCGGGTCAATGACCGGGTCGAGGCTGCTGTTGAAGACCACCACAAAGACGTTGTACATGTTCCGGCGGACGACGCTGTTCAGATTGGGCAGCTCATTGCGGGAGAACTTATCCAGCAGCAGCGCCAGACTACTGCTCTGCTGCAGCACCTGAATGCGGTCCTTGTACTTGCAGAAGGAGAGGAAGCTCTCTGCAGACAGCTCGAGGAGCTTCACCTCGCTGGTCATCGAGGCGAACTTCACCACCAGGTGGTCGAGGAAGAAGTTGATGAGGTGCTTGGCGGGCGGAGAGTCGGCGCCGAAGCAGGTGTTGAGGGAGAGGGACATCTCCTCGGTGTCAAACTCCGGCGGCACCAGGTAGTTCTGCATGAAGCGGGCGATGAACATCGTCAGCGTGATCGACACCTGCGGACTGACCCACTGCGACATCTTCTGCTCCAGCAGGCACTTCTCCATGTTCACCAGCTTGATCATCACAATGAAGAAGCGCACCACCGGGTCGATGTTCGTCGCGGTGATGTCCGCATTCTGCAGCGCCAGCTGCGTGGCGGCCACGTCCGCCGAGGAGGCAATGGAGAGCTTCATGATGTTCGAGGGCACCTCATTCTCCGAGGCCACCGTGAAGATGTTCATCGAGATGAGGAGGACCCAGTGAATGTCCTCGCAGAGGCAGGTCCACCGTTTCTGCTTCTCCTCCTGGCTGAGGCTGCTGCTGGTGATGGTCGCCTCGAACTGCCCTAGCTTCATCAGCAGCAGCTGGACGAGCGTGTTGATGCTGTGGGCGGCGTCAATCTGCGCCATGCAGCCGATGGCGCCCAGCTGCTCGCGAAACTGGGCACTGTCGTCCTCCTCAAACTCCTGAATGGTGTCGTCGTCGTCCAGGTACAGCGACGGCGGCAGCAGCCCCTCCGGCTG